AATCGCAGCTTCCCTCTCGCGATACCGCGCCCTCGGCTCCGTACTGTACCGCGAGCCACGTCGAACAGAGTTTGAACTCTGAGATGCGAAGCCTGAGGCACGGACGGGTGTTATCAGTGCGGGAACAAGCACCCCACGCCGGAGCGCCCACCATGCGCTTGTGCAGGCGGCATGGGGACATTCAGATCGTTCGCAGGACGTCTGCTCTTGGCCCAGCCGGAGTGGGACTCTGACTCGTCAACAGGCCCCGCGAGAAGACGGGAGACGTCTGGCGTTCCCAGGAATCCGCAGTGGGCGGACAATGGAGGACCAGATACCAACGATGCGAGCGAACGCCCAGGACTGCGCTGGAGGATGAGACGTTCTGCTGTGCTCATGCATTTATCATACTTTCATGCCAGACCTTCCCTGCAACACCATTCCAACGAACGAGTCGGTTGACAGGGAGCCCACACACATATGTCTGTGTCGCAATTCTCAAGTCTGCATTACAAAGAAGGGCATAGATAAATTAATGGGGTCATATCCAGCAGCATCCAGGCCGCGCACGCAAGTACGCAGCATCGTACAATCAGTCACGCGAGCTTACAGCTCTGCAGCGATGTGTCCCACGGCCTCCTCCGCCTTTCTGAATGCGTTCAAGACGTTCGCCTTGATCTGCATCTCGTCCAGCTTCGTCGGGGCCAGGGAACGCTTTTTCAAGATCGATGCAAGGCTTGAGGACATAGCACCGTCAATGCTCGTCACGCTCGACCGATTGAAAGTGCACGTACCGCTTCGATTCCTTCTCGATGTACTCCTCGCTTCCATTCACGACCTTCTCCATCACGCGCAGGTAGTGACTCGCGCTGGAGCCGGCAGACGCAGCAAGCTCAGAGGCATCTTTGTAAATCGTGTCCCGCGCCGCACCCGTTGCCGCGAAAAACTGCGAGGCAAGGTCGTCGAATTCAGGGAGACGGCCAGCCTGCAGGGCACATATCCAGAGGGGACACGAAGAATGAGCATTCAAATCAAGGAAGATATCAGAGACACCACGTACAAGCTCAGTGAGGCCACCGCCTGGTGCGCGTTGTGTGCCACACTTCTCGTTGAGGAACTCGACGAACGCCTTCTCTGTACGAGCACCTTCGTAGTCCTCGGCCTTGCCTGACAAAGCACATCTGTTAGCATTGATACTAGACTTTTGAGTAATGAAGCACACCATCGTGGAAGAACTTGATCGTCGGGTAGCTAGATACACCGTACTTCTCACCAAGTGGCTTATTATGGGCAGCGTCAGCATCCACATTCGCGATGATACACTGTTCAACGGTGTGTTTCAATACGCGCTAACCATCACAAATAATTCAATCTCACCTTGGATTCAGTCGCAAAGTCCTTGGCAACTGTGGATAGCACATGGTATCATAATCATCATCTTATAACAAAATCTGACACCAACCGCTATCCCAAGTCGGCTTCAAGTTTTTGCAGTGTCCACACCATGGGGCGGTGAATGCGACAATAGCATCATTGCCCGAGTTCTGTGAATCGTTTGAATGGGACATAACGTCTGCTAAATAGAAAATTATACCAGAACAACGTCATCGAAGGTGCCAATGTCAAGAATCTGATAGGCGGGAGGTGGGGGTGGCTTGATGCTAGACTTTACGCCCGACTTTGAAGTGACGCTACGTATGTCAAATTAGCTTCAAGTCACAAATGACCACGCTCGACCGAGTTCGAAATTGATCCGCCCTACAGAGTTCCGATAAAGTATAGCAGACGGACACTGCATGCAACTGTTGCACCATGCGGTGTTGCCAACAGACGATCAGGCGTAGCCAGGAATAACTTTGACAGGATGTACGATTTTCCGAGCACATACGGCCACTTGAAGGAACGATGTCAAGTGAAGACCCAGACAAGGGCTGGGCTCGTCTCGACAAGCACTGACAGTCTAAACGTCAAGCGGAATGTCACTTACAAGTTGGCGAGCGCGTCCAGGTCCCGGCCACCCTCGTATTTCTCAGGCTCACCTCCCTCAGGACCAAACCATTTGAGCGCTGGGTATCAATCACATAAACATCAGAAGACTAGTGCTTGGCTTGGCTCGCAAGGGACTGAATGGAAACACGTACTGGGGAAGCCCGTCACTCCAAACTTTGTCCCCAACGGCCGACCAACACCGTCTGCGTCTACTTTGGCAATGATGACCTTGTCCTTTGCATAAGCATAGGAATCCGCAAGTTGTTCGTAGATTGGAGCGAGGTTCTGAAGGGTAGCTCCACGTCAGCTAAGCACCGACGGGGAGCCTGAAACGAAAGACGGACCTTGCAGTGTCCACACCACGGAGCAAAGCTGTACAGAAGTAGATCAGTATTCGGCATTCGTCTACCGCATCCAACATGTCGCGAATCCACAATGAGTATATACGCACAATTCAACGAGCGCGGGCTTGCCCTGCCCAATAATTGAGTCGAAATTGTCCGGGTCGAGCTCGACGACGTTCGACGCCCATGCTCCGCCCAGCGACAGCACGGCGGCGAAAAGAGTGAAAGCGAACTTCATGCTGCTTGAGACCAATAGAGCAAGTTTAGGAGGGCAGAGAGAGACAAAGTGATGGTTGGAGAGCAAGAACTTCCGCCACTGGGAGACGTGGAGGCATCATAAACTGCTGACTAACGCTCGGAGATGGTTCGGAGGACACGCGCGACTGGGATGCGTGACGTGCGCGAAGTAATGAATTCGCGCGTTCGGGTTTGCCTCCAACTGGCTCCTGGGTACGCCCAAGCGACGTCGCATTTCTGCTCATTACAAGAATAAAAAATATCCGAATACTTACACGATCCTTCTACCCTAACGGTCACCGCCCAATTGCCCACCGGCAGGGTCAAATGCAAACACGGGTCATGACACAGCTCAAACCCGTTTCGCTTTCAGATTGATGTCTGCTCTGCTATCCTTTGGCATGGATTTGCATGACATTGGGTGTGATCATTCTGATGTTCATTTTGGGTCACAATGACCTTCATTTCCTTCTTGCCGTGATCAGTCTACACACACCTCCAGCAGAACCTCTGCTCAGCAGTCAGATATTATTCCGAACTCACGGCCCAAACAGTGTGATGAGGGAGCCCCGCTGATACACAGTATAGGCATAGTGGAAGACTTGACCTACTATCCTCTGTGACGAGATGCATGTCGGCGTTGAATGGACAGATGAAAGGCAGAATTAAAGAGCGGCATGGCAATACACACTAAAGGTGCATTAACTTCACAGAAGAGATGACACAGAAGAGGTCTTAGATCAGCTCTCCAAAGCACGCTGCAAACACAAGTACAGCCAAAGCATGAGCAGAATTGCACCCAGCTACCTCACAGGATGGATACGAATTGATCACCTCATGTAAAGTGCAAGTGACAAGCAACGTCTGTTTGGGATCCCACAGACCGATTGGCACAGTAGTAGTTCTGTTGTAGAAGCAGTACAGATACCCGCCATGCCACTCCCAGTTACTTTTTTTAAATCCCTGCTTGAGTTTGAAGTGCTTCGTACCTGTCCTTCGGAGTTTGACCTCACGATGAGCGACCAAAGATAGGACTTTCATAGTCTGCCTCGACTGACTGCGAGGTACTTTATATCAAGACTGTCGGATCTAGTCTCTACATTCTCCTAAATGATCCTTGACTGCAATGCGTACAGCATCTCTATTGCGCACATGAGATCTGCGGTGAAGACGAGTGCTGACAACAAGATACGATAGTTATACGTACCTATGAGGAGGTGCCTTTCTACCAGTCTATACTGGATGTTGAGAAGATACTTCCCGAGAGTATCTTCTACTACAAGAAATCAATCTACAGAGCAATGACTTACTTCAGTGGCACCGTTTGTACTTGAATAACAATCCCTTTCATCAAAGCTGTCACTCAATTTGACGGAATGTGACATGTGCTCGTCGAAATGGCGAATGTGGAGAACTCTATTACATCTCTCATTCCGGTCACAAACTCTGGCTACATACGTCGAAGCACATTCAGTAACCTCAGACCAAAGAGAATCAGAACCTACATACCCATAGTGGGTTCCTACGATCTTCTACATATTGCCGCGTGTCAAAAACGTTTACGGCTCGCGTCCAAAATCAAAAAAGTTCGTTACACACTCATGTATTGAGACGCCGGCTTGGGGATGATTACACACATGCGATGAAAGAGTGAGAAAGGCAACATCGTACAACCACACACGCTCGTCAAGACCGTCACAAAAACCCGAACTACATGGCATACCTGGTTTGATATCGTAAGCTTTATAAACACGATGACAATAACACCTGGGACGTACTTCCTTGTCCACTCCCGCGCGGTTGCCTCATAGCGAGCACGGTCTGTCTTGTACAGATGCGCGATATCAGGGACGAGGGGGTCGTCGGGGTTGGGATCTGTCAGCATCGAACATATGGAAAGCAGCACTGCAAGCAGATGATCAGGTTCAACATGGACAAGGCGTTCGGCCAAAATTTGCAGAGCGACACATTAAAATTTGAGTTCGAAGCATACCTTTCGAGATCGTCAATGCCGGACTCCATTGATCACGTAATATATCAAGACAGATCGAGCCATTCGCATTGATGTTCGGGTGGTAAATCTTCGTCGTAAAGCTGACCTTAGGAGGCTTGAAGGGGTAATCGGTGGGGAATGTGATGGAAAGGAAGAAAACACCGCCCGCATAGGGCGAATCTCCCTATGAGTCACGCGATATGTCAAACCATAGCAATCTGCGAGAATGTGGCCAGCACTCACGGGTCCCATGATCGTCGCTTGCCACTGGAACATGTTGTCGCCTGTCGGACCTGCACTGCAGGATGAGGGCGGATCACGCCCGAGGTCAATCAATTCCTGCAAATACGGTTCAGCACCAGCACGCCTCGTGCACAGCCTGGCCACGCCCACATAGCCTCGGCGCCATCCCAGTGCAATTGACGCGCAAACGATTTGCGCGCAATGTGAAACTCACCTTGTTAATGCGCTTCAAAGCCATTATGTTGAGTCTCTATTGAATGAAGATGCTACGGTTGCCAGCATGCGAACATCGGAAGGAAGATCGGTAAAGATCGTGCCAGATCGTGTCAGACGACGAGAGCCCATGCAGAGTCCAAGGGATGTCACCAAAAAGGAGCGCACAAGCGAAAGCAGAGAGGTATACAATCAATTACGGATGCGACGGAACGAAAGATTGGAAAACTTACGGATGTGAGGACGTGAAACGCCGACTGAGCGAGATGGTGGACAGAGGGAAGGATGAGTACAGCGCGATTGGGGTTGTTTGGCTGTTGTCACCGTGTTTGGCTTGCTTACCTGAAGTCACATTTACGGGAATCTTCCGGAAACATACCAAATATAGTGTTTCTTCCATTGTGGCAAGTACGCAGCTAGTCATCCTCAACATTCGATATATTTTAAATGTTCATGGTGATGCACCACTCCTCTAACCTCATTACATTCCCAGATACTCTCCGATTCGCTATACTGTTCTCCCGTCGAACCTACCGATACACTCCAGGATGTGCTAGGCTACAACAGCTGTTTTACATCACGGAGAACTACGTCTTTCCATATATACTGTCGAGGAATTTATTCCTCCAGGAAGAAGTAGTTTCCAGACGCTGGCAGGATATCAGCCGTCTGAGGGGTAGAAGGTAGATTCAAGTATACATACCCTTCTGTTCCCTATCCTTGATACTGTGCAATTTGTTCACACGCGGCCGATAATTCGTCGGGTCTCTCCTGAATGTGATCTCGAGAGATGCCAGGAATTTGTTCATACCAGTCAAAAGTGATTGCGGTCTATCAGTACGGACAAGATTATTCAGTATTGATAGATAAACGTAAAACGGCACTGACGGTGTTGCTGTTGCTGCGACAGCTGGCTGTCCTTCAAAGACAATGACACGGTCCGCCAAGTATGTAGCCATGATGAAATCGTGCTCAATAACAAAAGCAGTCTTTTTCGCATGAAGGATGAAGCTACGATCTCGTAAGAACACGCTCTCCCTGATTGCATTACAGAACGGCGACTCACCGCTTGATAACCTTGCTGGCAATGATACGTTGTTCAGAGTCGAGGAACCTGATAACAAAAGTAAGGATTGCAGATGCGGGATTCCAAAGAGAAGGAAACGTACGAGCTCGGTTCATCGATCAAATATACGGCAACGTTTGGCTTTCCTAGTGCGAGTACGATGGCTACACGTTGAAGCTCTCCTCCTGATAATGTTTTCACTTCTTGATCCAAGATATTATCCAGATTCATGGGCTTTACGACGTCTGTATTGAATTGCGGGTGCATGAACGCAGCTTTGATCCGTTTCAACAATAGCATGCGCACAGTTCCAGGGAAAGAAGGAGAGATCGCCTGTGGCTTCAGTGATACCGATAACGTCTGTTTATCTGTCTCCTCGTCAGGCGTCTCGCCCGCCAGCAAGCGCACAAACGTCGTCTTCCCCGTCCCGTTCTCGCCAAGCATTACGATAATTTCAGAGTCAGTGAAGCTACCTCCTTCTACTGTCAATTTAAAGCCTCCAAGCGTCTTTGTCATAGAGGGATATGAGTAATGTCGGGTCTTGTCCACGATCAGCTCCTCCGCAGTCTCGACCATCTTGAAAGAGAGCGACTCCTCGCGGAATCGTAAGTTCTCTGTGGGGATGAATCCGTCCAGGAAAATATTTATCCCTGCCACACTAGTTGTAGGCTCAACAAAAACTTAGGAGAAGAGCAAGCGCACCTTCACGAACAGAGTACGGCATCGTCACAACACCGTACATAGAAGGCTTTCCATAGAGACAGCAGATAAAATCAGACAAATAATCGAGCACAGACAGATCATGTTCGACAGCAACAACGTAGTTGCCTGGTGACAGCAGCTCGCGAATGACTTCAGCGGCCTTTAATCGCTGTCTGATATCCAAGTAACTGGACGGTTCGTCGAACATGTATCTGCAAGGAGCTCAGTAGTAGATAGCATATAATTGAAGGAGGTGCGCACACATCGGCCTGCTGGATACAAGACATCGCGATTGCGAAACGTTGAAGCTCACCACCAGAGAGTTGCGACACCTCTCGCGTCAAGACCTCGTTGAGCTCTAGATCGTCACACATCTTCTGCTTATTGTCCCTCTCCAGCTTTGAATCAAGCATCTGAGATACAGTCAATTTACCCTTGATAGCACGGGGAATATGATCAACATATTGCGGCTTGATCAGCGCCTTCAGGTTGTCCTCGAGAACCTTGGTAAAGTAATTTTGCAGCTCTGAGCCACGGAAGTACTTGAGAATCTCTTGCCAGTCCGGCGGATCCTGAATGAAGGTTAGATAACGAACGGCGATAGACTTTGTACTCGACAAACATCATAACGGCCGAGATTAGGCTTGAGTTTACCCGCCAGAATTTTTAATGCTGTACTCTTCCCAATACCGTTGGTTCCAACAAGTCCTAGCACTTGTCCTGGTCGTGGTGTTGGCAATCGGTGAAGTTTGAAGGAGTTGGCAGTATAGCGATGGGTCACTTGCGAGTCGAGATTCGTCGGGAGATTAATGATGGCTATGGCTTCAAATGGACATCTTGAGATGTCATGATCAGTTTTACATTCACCTTGATTGTGAATTTTACCAACTTCTTCACACAGATACCACAACCAATACACAGGAACTCAGAGATGAACGCGATCTTGTCAGTAGGCTTGACCTCTATACAGAGCTTGCCTGCAAACCAGGTCTCAGTTGTGTATTCGATCTTTACAACCAATACATACCCATCTTCACGACCGGACACGACTACCAACATTCCCTCAGTTCACCCAAGTGATCAACGAAGCGAAATAATACATACCTTCTTACACTCCTGCGCACATCGCTTCGGCTTGCATCGGTTGGAATCGACGATGGCAATACGGGTGATTTTGTCTGCCATCCTCAAGAAACAGTCACGAGTGGGCTACCCCACTTGTCGGTGATGAGACCTTCTCTCGAGGTTGTTGTTGAGTGCAGTCTTCACTTGAATGCAGAGGGCGGTATACTCTGAAAATTCTGGCCGTGATTAATCACGTGTGTACGCGCTACGGCGCTGCCACTGCCAGTGATGCAGTGGAGGACCACCGGAGTGTGACGAACTCTCGCTTTTGCTGGTCCTTTGCTGACAACACATGAGTTGATTTTACATTCCGTTGAAGATACGTTGCTATAATCTCCTCAAGGTCTCACGGTTCTGGTATGGCTAGTATGGGTAATATGGATACAACTTCTTCCCGCTCCTCCAAAGACCCCTCAAAGCTGTCCTTTCAGTCTACTAAGACGCGAAGACTGATTTTAACGGCTTATTGGGGTGTCATTCTACTTGCGATTCCTCTTTGGTGGAGAACTACCAGCATTGAGCGACAGACCTTGCCTACAGCTCGTGTCAATGCACAGCAAGGGAAAGAGGTGTTTCAGTCGGATTTCTACCATGTATTTGGAACTGACTTGCGGGAAGTTAACATTTCCCATCCATGTGCATTTGGATGTCAGCGACGATCTTTCTGGTCGTGGAGGTGCACTATACGAAGAAGTGCAAAGAAGCATAGAACTTCATCCGGATCTCCGAGACACTGCTGGTTTGCGCATTCGCGTATCCTCGAAAGAGAAGCTGTGAGTTCAAACTTGGGGTTTTGAGTACGTACTTCATTGATATACACGTAAGTCCCGGGGCGTATCGGGTTGTTGTAAAGGGCGGGAGCGAGAGCCCCATCGTGGATGGCCGACGACTGATTTACGGCGTGCACCCCGAGAGTCATACGCTGTGTGAGTATATACATTGCCGTACTTGTAAAATCATTCAACTTCGCAACCCGATTTTAGCAATGGAGTTGGCAGACGCACTTGCCACATTGCTCTCGCCGTATTCGACATTGCGAAGTTCTCAAGCAGAACGCGTAGCGAAGTATGCGCCACGATATCGGCTCGCGTTCACGTTGCTCAATGAAGATGCAGCGTCTGGAACTGCAGCATTGTCTTGGGATGTTCATGCTTCCCTTTCTAGTCAGTCCATTCCTCGTCAAATCTTTGAGAGGCTGACTTGTAGCGTAGGTCATATCGCACCAACACTGGAGAGGCTATCAGTACTACATAACTTCACTGTCGAGAGCCAGGTGCAGTTTTACGCCCCGTTAGCATTCGAACCTCGGTCCGTTGGTGATGGATCTTCCCATGGGTTGACACAGGAAGACTTGACTGTCTTCATCAACTCTGCTGAGTGGACATTATGTAGGCTGCTAGCTCATAAATTATGAGTTCATGCTGATGGTGGGTGCAGCATCTAGTGTTTCGAATGATCCAGTCCTGCATTTTGTCCTCTTCATTCCATCATCAAGTCACAGCCCCTTGTGTATACTTGACAGCAACGGTCAGTCAGGCTCTTCGATCGTACAAGATAGCTGCTAACCCAATTATACAGGGACTCCTACTTCCTCTACGGCGTTCATCCTTCCACAATGGGGAGGAATCGTCATCTATAACCCTCCGACCGCAAATATTACACTTCAGCTCACGTCCGACGCACTCAGCCCTGTCTTCACCACTTTCCAACAACAGCTTATAGCGCTCCTTGGTGTGCCAGCTCTTCCTGCGCACATACACACACAACACAAGACCGCTAGCGACGCGACATTTACAGATTGGCAACTAGACGCGTTGATCCGCCGACGAGCTGTAGAAAATACCATGGGTGCACAAGACACTTTGCAAAGCATCGTACGGCTTGTCACACAAATTGAGAACATGCCAGTAAAACGAGATGTGAAGAATGACGTACAGGAGGCGTTGATGGAGCTGGAAGAAGTGCGTGATTATCGCATAGTCCTCTACTAATTATTTGGAGTCGTCTGACGGTGATTATTCGATAGGCTTACGCGGCTACGTCGTTTTCATCTGCACTCGCATTGCAGCATGCAAGCGAGGCTCTCACTTTGGCATCGCGCGCGTTCTTCAATCCAGGCATGCTCGCGCTGTTGTATTTTCCAGCAGAACACAACTATGCGGTTTATGCGCCATTATTTGCGTCAATTTCTGCCCCTTTGGTTGCTGCACTAATCCGGGAGATAGTCGCTTGGAAAAGAGCGCGCAAGGCAAAACAGGAAGATACTGCTGTGAAGCTGAAGGATGAGTGAGCCGTAGTGTACTGTTGATTGTCCCGAAATCTAGACCCATATTATTTACGCACTAGCATTTCGGGGTCGTGATCGGGTCGTAGCTTATGACTTCAGCGAGGCGTCACCCAACAGTACCATGACACATGGAGCAACATCCCCTGAATGTACACGTATGGATTTAGCTGACTTTGCCAGTTACCTCGACCACGCATGAATCTGATGGACAGAATGAACAAAGCACCGCCACAGCAGCAGCGAATGGTGAGGGATAGACCATATTTGTGTTTTGGTCGCTGAGTACGAGTGCTTGGAGATGTTCATCGCGGGCGGTGCGCTCGCGGTAGCTGTAGGGGCGATGTATTATATGCGTCTGAATCCGGAGACCGAAGCGAAGAAACAAGTGCAGAACCATGGCGGTGAGTGCGCCGTTATGCATTATAACCATGCTAGGGCTGATGGTAGCTGGGCAGGTCGAACAGACGCAAATCCGATCGCGCAAATAAAAGACGTCCGGGACAGAGTGAAGTGAGAATCCGCAGTTGCGTGGCCTCAGTCCGACATCAGCCTGCGTACTGACGTTGAAAACATGAGAGGCATGGTGATCGTGCATGATCTGGCTTGAAATTGCAATAACATTGTAGGAGCTGACTCCAATTCCTCGAGCGGTGTGATGCTAGGAACCAGTGTATAAACAGTTACGGTGGATGTAGCGTGAAGCCTGTAATAGCATGCTGAGAACGACGATGGCAAATGCGAGTACGTGTGGGTGTTGTTCGATACCGGTCAACATTGAGCGACTGCGACTACAAATAGACAGGAGGCATTCGCATGAGATTATATGCATTGTTGTATTGAACTCACGCTAACACAGAGTACTTACAAGGGAAACAGGTTCACTGTTATAGAATCTGCGTTCACCTAACTCGAGGTAAATCTTACAACTTCTGCGTGCAACTTGCCTACAAGATTCAGTTGAGCTCATGCAACGAACCCGCCACCGTCTCCTCTCCATCGTGGACAGATTCTGCGTCTGCGATGAGGAATCTTCTTGTGGTATTGGGGCTCACGAACTACGTTGCTTGATTAGCGTAAGTAAAGAAAAAAAGAGAGGTATCCGACTGGACAATGGAAAGCATTTGGGATTCGGGTGGCCCCGGGTGTTGCCGATTGTTCGAGAGGAGCAATTTCTGAGTTCGAACGGATGGCACCAAGTCCACAGAAGGCAACAACGCCCACTTGAGGAGGCAGACGATCTCCTCCGGCTTCGACCACCAGCTCCTCATATTAGTCTCTCTGTTATCATCGCCGGAACTTCTTGGTTCCTGGAACTACTCTCGTTCAAAGTTTTAGTCCTAATCTGACATTGGGCTCCTGCTGCTTACGTTTACTTTGCAACGTCTGGCTAGTAGCGTTTCTCCGGCCACGATAATTTCCATTCTATTCCCGCTGCTGTCACTCCTCATGTTTTCACAAAACGATCCTCAAACCGGTTCAAGTGAAATACCTATGTTTTACGACGTCAGTTCATAGTTATAGCCACGACCTAGGATGCTCAACTTACATACCTGAACCATATCTAGCGACCGCCTGAACATCGACTTTCACCACCTCTACCCGGATACCCTTCTTTAGCGAGGCCTATCCACGACGTTCCAGCTCAATTACCAGGGTACCTTACGGATTTTGGACAAAATTTCTGGCCTGACCGTCCATACTATGACGGACCACCGCCTATACGTCAAGTATATCCTGAAGGCCCACAGATAGGCCGATGGGATCGTCCGGGACCATGGAGCCCACCACAACCTCTCGCATGGTCAGAAGGGAGAGAAACCGCTGATCCTCCCTATGACCCTACGTGGTCAGTCCGCCGTGATACTATGGCTGAGCGCATGTTTGAGCCTTCAGAATCGTGGAAACAATCCCATCAGCCGGGGACAGAAAGGCATGGATTTTGTCGAGTGCATATGGATGTCACTGATCGTATACTAGCCCAGCGAAAGATCACACGTTTAATATCTCTGGGGAGCCCCCTGCACAAATTTCGCGATTTCGGACGCCACAGCGCCCTATGCCCGATCACTATAGTCCTCCCCATAATCACTACAGCCCTCGTGATCATTGGAGTCCTCCGCGAAGCCATTACAGCCCTACCCGCAATCATTACAGCCCTCCTCCCGACTGTCATGCGCCTTTACGAGACCATTATTCCCCTCCTCATTTTGCAGGAGACCGCTATCGACCACCCCAGCACGCTTTACCTCGATATCCGTATTTGAATCCGCGATCAGACTCGTATCGTCCTCAATACGACGATGATGCAAGTTCATGGAGCCCTTACGGCGATGATTCTCATACGAACAGGTACGAGGGTCGCCTGAATGATGATCTTTATACTTCCCATCCTCCGCGCTCTCCCTCACCACCCCGCCGTGGACGACGGCGCGCCCGTACTCGTATTCGCGAGCGATCACTGAGCCCAGCGTCCTCGTCTATTTATTCTCCTACTACAGCACGAATACATTCGCCCACAATGAATGCACGATGGAGGGCGAGGGGTGGTGAAGACTCGCCATCCAGCCCTGTTACAAAATTAAGAGGTGGGGATTTGGATAAATCCTGGAGAGCACCTTCCGTTGGCAGACGATCACGGTCACACTCCTCAACATCCTCTGTACCGGGCCTTTCACGATCGTCTGACGCCAACAAGCAAAATAACCACATTGCACCCATCAGTCCGGCTGCTGAGTCGAGAGTTTTAGCATGGAACAGGTCACGGCAGATACGTTCTGCTAAGAGACGTAGATCGCATTCCCCGTCGTCTTCTATTTCAGATTTCTCGGGTCCACCTGGCTCCACAAGGAGAAAATTCCCCAGGCGGCGTCGTGCCAGGTTTGGGAAGAGAAAGGGTAATGCTAAAAAGTCATCTGCTAATAGGCAACCCCCTAAGCATACTCGTCTCATGTCCCCTGGCCAGTCCTTCAATGATGTAAACGACTTAGCTTCTCAAGACTTGCCTGGACTGCGAGGATTTGCACCTACGAGGATGCAGAGATCTGGACGATTAATCGGTACATCCCGATCGCGATCTCGTTCCCCAACCGCGGAACCACCGGGATTGAACGCTCATGCCATGGGCACTATCAAGTCTTCCGTGTCTTCAAGCGCTGCCTCAGCGTCCAAAGGCTCAATTCCTACGGCCACTCCTCTCCGTAGCCCCGAACCTTCTCCTATTCCTCGTGAGAGTCAAAAGGTATCCGATGAGGAATCAGATATGGATATGTCCGCTCCGCCGTCACCCATACGTGAAGTCTCCGTTCTTGACGTACCACAGTCCCCCAAGGTATCGAGGCTCACCCCGGATGACTCTATAACTGTTGCACTGTTAAGTCCCATCACAGAAGTCAAATTCTTAAGGTTTGTTAGATTTACACTTTCTCTTGTCTCATTAAATGACCGTTTTTCACGACAGGTCTCCCAGTCCTGATGGCTCCGATATGGATATGTCTCCACCTCCATCTCCTAGACTCCGCTCACCGAGTCTGGATAAAATACTTGAGCAAGACCGTCCAGACACGGAAACCTCTTCACATCTGGTTTCTACGCCGGCGAGTCCCTCGTCTGAGCTTCCAGTAGAGGAACCTGTAACATTTTCATTGCCTGACATTCAAGAGCTGCCAGCAACGCATAAATCTGCATCTATTGCTCTCTATTACGCCGAAGAAGAGTCCGACATGGAAATGTCTCTGCCCGGATCGCCTGCTCCTCACTCAGTGTCTATTACGACTGAGGAGTTACCTACCGTTCATGTTTCCGAGCACCTGCCATCTCTGATCCCACCGATAGAGAGACCTTTGGCTTCTCCAAAAGAGCCGCCACAGAACGAGGCCGCAACTGGACAACCTCTGCCTATCGTTGACGAGGTGAAATCTATTTCCCCTCAAATCGTATCAACCGAGATAGGACCAGCCTCACAGGTTGTGTCTATAGAGGTTGCAGCGACTTCAGATTTTACAGCGACGGATGCGGAAGAGGAAGAAGTGGTCTCGCAAATTGTCTCGACGGAGGAAGAAGCCGTCTCGCAGCCCGAACTGTTGGAGGATGTATCAGTTCAGGAAGTTATGATCACTGAAATGGCGAGGGTCGATGAACCCATGCAAGTTGAGCAGACGGAGGTCGAAACGAGCTCTGCTGTCCTGGAGCCAGTATTTAAAAAAGCTCTGGAGGGACCTTCTGTCGACATAACAGTGATGGAGGCAGCTAAAGAAGCTCCTGAGATCGTGGTGGCAGAAATGGAACAGGTTCCAGTAACTTCTCCAATGGCAACGATAGAGGAGAGAATTCATCTGCTGGATGGAGTCGGTTGTGCCACCACCATCCCCCATCTTAATATGCAGTCTCCTCAATTGCCAGTTCCAGCGGTTGATGACTCTGAGATGGTCAGTGACATGGATGCTAAGCTAACACTTTCTGCATCTGTCCCAGAGGCCCTGGAATCAGCTATTGAGATTGGAGCATCCCAACAAGATAAGCAAATCGAGGACCATGTAGCTGTTGCCGACAATGTCATGCCAGCAGAGGAACGTTTAAGCACAGACGAAGATGCCCCTGAAGTACCCGCTGGAAACTCTCTCACTGAGCCTCTACGGGTCGTCGTGATGACGAGGCTACGTTGTGACCGTCAAACCAAGATGGAGCGTGTCCAGCCGGTTTTGCTGGCTAACCTCGCGATTGCCGAGCCTCCTCTGACCGATTCCCACTTGTCATCCAACGCTCTGATTCATAGCGTCTATGAAGGGCAACGCTTGCTGTCTCGGGATGAGGTGCATTCAAGGACAAGACCCTCTCTCCAGATCCTCTTCGCTCAACGACAAGCGACATTATCCGAGAAGGTGCAACGACTACGAGAAGAGTACCTAGTATTGCATGAACGCTGGCTTGCTCACTGTTCCAAATTAGACGAGGCTGCAAAGGCCACAGCTCTAGAGGAAGCCGCAGCGACCGCTGGCAGGACTACGCGCCGTTCAGCTGCCCTGGGAGATGCCGTGCGGACAGACCTAGAAATGGAGCAGATTATTGCCAGTCTGGGCAACGAGGAACTCACTGACGCTAACCACCTGGCCGCTCGTAATGCTGCAGTAATTCCCGATATGATTTCCGTTACACACGGGTCGGTCGATTATGTCTTTGACGATACCAATAATGCCGTTGACAACCCCGCTGAATTTTATGCGCCGACTTCCGGCGTGGACGATTGGACCGAGGAGGAAAAGGCCATCTTCATCGACAAATACGCGTTGTACCCGAAGCAATTTGGTCTTATTTCGGATTTCCTCCCATACAAGAGCCCAGCGCAATGCATCACTTATTATTATCTCCACAAGAAGACGCTTATTGATTTCAGGAAGGTCATATCGCGGCACACGAACGGGAAGAGGAAGCGCGGTGGGGGACGGCGCACAGATAAGAAGAAGGGCAACGCGCTGCTGACGGACATTCGCAAGCACGACGATGAGATTTCGCGAGATTCCACTCCTACCGGCCCTGTAACCCGTCGTAGACGGGGTGCCGCAGCTCATGCAGCAGCCGCTGAATCGAAACGGCCAGCATTGTCAAGGAGAAGCACGATGCAGTTTGAGGAATCTCCTCTGTCTACCCCAACTCCAGATCCCGAGCCTCAGCCAGACAGCCGAAGACGACGGCGTACGACCAAACCGACAGTGCGCGCGGCAGTAGCGACGGACCAAGATGCTGATGATGAACCCGCGGTAAGTTTGCTTCATCTCGACTAGTCGATGTTTGTATGATTGATTGTTCACAGGACTTGGAACAGGGTAGACCTGCGAAAAGGGGGCGAAAGACTCGCAAGATGAAATCGGCTGAAAACGTTGTTTCACCCGTGGTGCCGGAAGAGACTCCCATGATGTATAGTGAAACGCGGTTTATCGACCAAACGGAACTCACTTCACGTAAGAAAGCCACGCCCGGTAGCGTCCACTGGTCCGAGGAAGATAAAGGTGAGTTCGATTTCTTTTGCGGATTGTAAGCTCTCTAGATTTAAATGATTGGACCACTTATCCTGCAGACCTGTTTCTGGATTTGTTATCTCAACATGGGGCTGACTTCAAACGCATTGCGGCATCAATGCCCAATAAGGTTTGTACTGAATTTTACCTGGGGTTCCAGACCTAACGATCCGCTTAGACGACGATTCAAGTGAGTGCCTTTTACAGGGCCAACGTGGCGAACCTGGGGCTCGTCAGGGTAGCGAATAGTGCGCCTAAGCGATCACCCACGCCAGATGGCCCGTCGGAGTGGAAGGAGACTTCACTTCCGGGGTCAGGAATGTTCACACCCAGCACTGCAACATCGACACCTCCGCCCGGTGGTCCTCTACCGGCCCATGTTGTCGGCATCGAGACGCAATTTCGTTTGAACGATCCTGCTACATTTCGCCAGCGGACGATCGAAAGGCACGTTACCCCACCAGAGATGCATGCAACTTCTTTTATACCATCTAACCCCACGGGTCTGGTAGCCTCGTCCTCGAACGGCTTGCGGTTCCATCTCCCGCCGATGGAAGGCATTCTCACTCAACAATATGGCACGCAGCATGATGGCGAAATGGGCATGCTGGCTGCCCTTGGGCCGATCCCTTCGCACATGACCGTGCCGTTCGAACTCATGCCCCATGCGCTTGGAATACCGCCTGGCCAGACTCAGGCAACGATGACGTCGACGTTCCCGTCAAGCTTTGCGTACTCGAATTTATCGCCATCGCACTTTGTCGGAGAGCAGCGCATGCCGTCGCGCCCGCCGCCTGTGCGTGGGCTTACGCCCCCCAGCGCGCCGTCGAGCGCGACGATGACGTTTGACGCATCGGTGTTTACTCAGCAGGCGTGGTCGTTCCAGCCATATGCGCCATCGATGACGGGCCCGGACATGCCGACGGCGCTGCAGACGACGGAGGACTTGGTGGCGTATCTGGAACATCGCACGCGGTTCGCGGGAGAGCGGCCATCTGACGATTTCATGTAGCCTGTCTTTGCTTCGAGGTTCAGCTGCTTTTGGTTTGGTCAATCTACTTGTTGCTCTCTGGTCTGTTTTCCCTTTTTTTTTTTTT